CTACTTCCACAAAGCTGTCAGCCTCAGGTTGGATCCCCACAACACTCCAGCCAGCCAAAAGTGCCCTGCAGGCATTCGAGGAGAAAAAAAAAATCCTAAAGTGATAGAAACAATACAAAGTACATTCTCAAGCCACAAAAAAGTGAAATTAGAATTCAATGACAAAGATGTTGTGAAATTAACAAATACATGCAGATTAAACAAAATATTCCCAGTCGAAAATGATTTCAGAGTAATTTTAAATAAATGAAAATGCAGACACAGCAACATTTCTGGGGTGCAGAGAGGGAAATACATGGTGGTTTTAAAAATATATCCTTGTTAAAAAGTAAGAAGGAACAACACACATATCAACAAACTAACTGTCTATCTCCCAAACCTGGAATAAGAACAGCAAAGTAAACATAAACAGAAAAAATGAAATGGTAACTAGAGCCAAAGGGAACAGAAAACAGGAAAACAGTAGAGAAAAAAAAATCCATCACATCAGAAGTTGCTCCTTTGAAAATGTTAACACAGTGAGAACTCTTTAGACTGATCAGGACCACAGGGGGATGGCTACATCAGTGGAATCTGTGAGGAATCAGGAACCACTCACAAGCTGACAGAAACAACAATGACAAAGGAACACTGAGAACAATTTATACCAATCAACACATTAAATAATTGAACACAACAAGCAAATTCATAGAAAGAGATAAGCTACCAAGAAGACAATTTGAATAGATCTATAGAAAGCAAATGATTTAATGTTCAAAATTCTCCATAAAGCCAATCTCATGTCCATATATCAAACATGTAAGAATAACTGTTACCAATTCTACATAGTTCTTCCCAAAACAGAATGATCATTTCCAATTCATTCTAAGTCAATATTTCTCTGACACCCAAACCACACAAAGATATCACAAGAAAATGGCAGACTAATACATTTTACAAATATAAATGTAGAAATTCTAAATAAAATACTTGTAAACTAAATCCAACTACATATAAAAATTATACAGCATGACCAAGTAAGATTTACTATGGGAATATAATGTTGCTTTACTATATGAATATCAATTAACATAAAACATTATTATCAACAGAAATTTAGAAGCCCATATGACAGACACAGACAAGGCATCTGACAAAATCCAAGACTTTTCCATGATAAAAACTGCAAGCAGATAGCAACAGATGGGACGTACTCGACTTGATCAGGGGAAGCCATGAAATACCCACAGCATGCAGTGGCAAGGCTGCCTGCTTTCTCCCTGGGACTGGGAACAACACTGTGCTACAGACTGTACCCAGGATAATTAGGAAAGAAAAGAAGAAGAAGTAATATCCAAATAGGAAAGGGCAAAGTAACACCTATATTCACAGATAACAGGATCTTGCATAAAGAAAATCCTAAGGAACCCATTAAAAAAATAATATACAAGAGTTCAGCAAGGTTGCAGGACACAAGATCAATATACAAAAATAAATTGTCTAACTAAAGTGCATAGTTAGATACTTACAGTGAAAATTAAACTAAGAAAGTAACTCACTCAAAATAGCACAGAATAAAATACTCATAGAAATAAATGCAGCAAAAGAAATGTAAAACTCCATACTATAAAAACTATGTTGAAGAAGACTAGGAGGCTAGATGACAGCTTACGTCCATGAAGGGAACACAGCATAGTTAGGGTGCCAGCACAATGCCTATCTGAATTCTAGCCGGCTTATTTGCAGAGCCTGGTGACTAGCTCAAGAATTCATATGATTTGAAGACAACATTATGTCACACAGCAACTGCAGTTGAATTCCTATTATTTTGTTTGGTGAAGTTCTGTATTGTTTCTTTCTTTTCTTTTTTACTATTTTGTTTCTCTTTAGATAGATAGATAAATAAATAATTTTTTTTAAAGAGTTTATACAGACTTGGAGGAACCTATAATCCTAGCACTTGGGAGGCTGAGACAGGAGGATCACTGAGTTTGAGACTAGCCTGGGTTACAAAGTGAGCTCAAGACCAGCCTGAACTGCATAGCGAGACCCTCTCTCAAAAAGACCAAAAAAAAAGGAACCACTTTGAAGGGAAGAACAAAGCTGAGGATTCCAGCTTCTCAACTTCCACACACTACACAGCAATGAGGCCCAAGACCATGTGGCTGTGACATGAGGCCAGACCTGCAGATCTCAACTCACGTATCCCCAGCCACCCGCTCTTTGCCAGCAGTGCCAACCAAGATAACCCAACACACAGAGAGTAGTCTATTCAGTCTCTTCAGCAAACAATGCTGGCTAACTGGACACCCACATACAACAGGGTGACACTGGACTCCTACTTTACACCATGAGCAAAAGTCACATCAATGTACCAAAGACTGAAAATTAAGAGCCAAAATTGTAAAACTCTGAAGAGAACAGTCTGCGATCTCAGATTGACAATGGACTTTTAGACATGGTATTAAATACAGGAGCAAAAACAGGAAAAAAAACAACAACAAAACACGGTTATCCTAAAGGGCTATGAACTTGAAATAATGTCATCGACAAAGTAAAAACCTAAAGAACGGAAAAATAATATAGACAAATCACATAGGACAAAGGATAGAATAAACCTAGAATATAAAGTTCTACAACTTAATGAAAAGACAAAAAGTAGGCAAAGGGCCCAAATAGACACTTGTCCTAAGAAGACATATAAATAACAATAAGCACACAAAAGGAGCAGACTGAGAAATGTAAATCAATGCCACGAGGAGAAACCACTTATATTGGAATTTAAATGTCAATAATTACAGGTGTCAACAGGATGTGGAAAAATCAGAAACCTTTCACTGTGGACAGGACTTTGGAATGGTGGGTTCCCCTGGGAAAACTGACTGGTAGTTACTCCAAAAGTTAAATAAATATAGAGCTACCATATGACTCAGCAACTCCACTCCTGGGCGTACACCCAGCAGAATTCAGAACATATGTCCACGCACAAACGTGTATACAAGTATTCATTACTCATGATTGTCAAAATAGCTACAAATAGATGGACAGATACACAGAACATGGCAGGCCATGCAAGGAATGGAACTCGGCTCCATTTATATAAAATGTTCAGAGGAGAGAAATTTATAGAGTTAAAAAGTAGATTAGGGGTTGTGTCAAGCTAGGACAAGGGGAGTGTGTGTGTGTATGTAAGAATAAGAAGACAGTGAGAGCTAAAAAATATACAGCGTTCTTTCTGAGACAGTGAAAATTCCCTAATACTGAACCTGGTATCCATTGCAGGTGCCCAAATATCCTAAACCCCCTAAGTTACACACTTGAAACTGGCGAAGGGCATGGCACCTGACTCATACCTCAGTGAAGATGCTATCAAAAACCACAGGGATCAGCCAGGGGAGCAGGGCAGTTGCCCCCCACATGGCCGTGCACCGGTCTGCCCCACTCCCCACTTCCCCATCACAGGCACCAAAGGTAAGGCTCCAATACCCCTGCATATCTATGTCTGTTCCTCACATCCCACTCATGTCTCTTTCTTTCTTCACAGCTGTCCCAGACCAGAGGCAATGCATTTTGTGACCTCTATTTTTTTCCCCAGTGCCAGGGATCAAACTCGGGATGATGTGCTTGCCAGGCACATGCTTATGCTGCTGAGCTATCTCCCGGACCCTGTGACCCTATTTGAAGCTGCTCAGTAGAAACAAGAAGCCAGAGAACAGGAAATACAAAGAATTATGGCCCAAACCATCTGCATAGAAAGTGAGGCGATACCATGAACTTGGTGCATGGTTCCTGGCTGTTTCTGAGCAGGTTCTGACCCAGGTCACTGCAGAGGTGGATGCCCACAATAGCCTTCCCTAGAATGGCAGGTTTAATTCACACTGCTGATAGCCGACAGGGCTCTCGGGTACACAGGAAGGCACAGAGTCTGCAGGACAGTTCCAGGCAGGGAGGAGCCTGCCTGTTTTCACAAACTTCGCAAGACAAATGCCAACAACTGCTTCTTGTGAAGCTGGGGAAAGGCCCACCTGGGGATGGCACTCTGTGACACTCCTTTGATAAGGACGATGGGCCCTCTCAGCCATGGGAAAGCAGGTCTTAGGACCGGAACAGCGCAAAGGCCACAACCAAGCTGTGCCTGGAGGATTCTGCTGTGGATTAGCATTGTTATGGGTGTCACTGCCATTGTCTTCGTTTTGGGCTGCCTTATGTTTATGACTTCCAGGATTCAGTTTTACATGTTCAGTAGGAAGAGTTTCCCTCTAAACAAGGTTCACTTTTCATGACTGCATAATAACCCATCACAGCACAAATATGGGCTGCTGAAATTCTGTTTTTAGTTTGTTTTCACTTTTTATTCTGTTCCTGGCTAGATTTTTTAAAGAACCTAAAGCTTCTTTTTTTTTTTTTTTTGACGGAACCAGGGATTGAACTCAGGCCCTTGCACTTGCCAGGCAGGCGCTTATTCCACTGAGCCATCTCCCCAGCCCCCAAGAACCTAAAGCTTTAAACAATCTAAATAAAAAGAAGAGAATGACTGAGTGACTGAATAATCCACAGCCTACACAGCAATGTGGGTGGGCATACTTAGAGCAACAAGACTAAAACATAAAAAACAGAAGGCTAAATTCTTCCACACTCTTGGTACTGCCAAATCCCTATCAGCCAGCGTAAGGACAGGGTGAAGTAAGAAACCTGCAGAAAAGGCAGATACATCTTTGAGACAGAAATTCCTTTATGATTAAATGCTGCTTATATAATAATATTATAATCATAATGAAAAGAGTGATTGGAAGAAAAACTGTTAAGCAACTAATAGTGTGGCTAATTGGTGGATATGGAACAGAAGTCACAAAGGTGATGAGGAAAGGACAAGACTTTCAGAACGAGTCAGACACTCTGAAGACCTTGCTAGTTACACAATTGATGGGATTTAGCACCAGCTTTTAAATCATCTATTAACCTTACATCGCAGCCCAGAGGAATAATCAAAGCCACCCTGGGGCTCGATGACCCACACTCACTGTGGTGATGCCCCTGGCCTCGTGGTAGGCCACGCTTACGACGTCCGTGGCACTGGTGTTGAGGAAGAAGTAGCCAGAGCCTTCTCTGACATGGAGTTCTGCCTGGAGGAGGAGATGCCAGCATAGGAGAATCATGTGTGGCCAGCCCAGGGTCCCCCCACAGTAGACCTCACCCAGGACAGGGAGGGGAGGGCACAGGGCCATACCTGGATGCCAGGATGGTTGTAGATGGTCACCTCTCCTGGGCTCACCCACACATCCTCCACCAGAATGAGGTCGATGGAGGCCGACACAGGCAGGAAAGGGTCACGCTGCGTGGCAAGGTCAATGCCATCAGATCAAAGCCACAGTTATACCAGGCCATCCCCTCACTGCAGGTCACCTACTATATCCTGAACACCAACCCCAATAAAACCTCAGTGCTCCTAAGCCGAGGGGACAGTTGCCCCCCGTGGAGGCCTCCCTTGAGCCCTGTCCAAGTGAAACGAGTCCCCACCTCTTCTTCTGTACATACGGGAGATGATGAGCAACAGGGCAGCTTAGGTGTCAGTCTCATGGTTCTTTGGAGTAACGCACATGTGCTCCCAACCCTCAGGGCCCTGGGGCAAACACCAGCTGCCACACACACGGAGGACAGGGGCTTGGGTACACAGCGAAGCTGCTGACACACTCAGAAAGTGGGCCAGGCTCCAGGGAAGGGTACTCCTGGGACTCACAGAGGACAGGACAACGCTCATTCCCTCCAAACTATACTGATGTGTTTTCTGCCCCTTGTCATTGGAGGGCAAGCGGTGGACACGACACAGTCACATAGCCACATAATGATGTTTTAGTGACATGCAATGTCACATGACTATGTCACCTACAGATGCTGCAGCTGTCTCAGACATGGTAGTTAATGCTACAGCATTACATGGGGTGACATCGCCTAATAGTACATGGGGCCATCCTGAAGCAATGTCTAATTGTCCCATGCCAGGCACTGAGTGGTGCATATAGGGCACAGTGGCTACCCATGGTGAAGTTTTATTCTGACAAGAGGGCTGAGAAGAGTGAGGCCAGGGCAGAAAGGTGTGGGCCAAGGTGAGTGCAGCCTAGGTCCCGTGGGCCGAGCAGGACATGAGATGAGCTCTCAGATGAGCAGAGAGCCAATGTTGGGAAGCCCTGAGCAGTGCCAAGAGCCAGAGATACCCACAGGGATGAGTGAGCCAGGGCCCAAGAGTAACAGTGTCAGGCCCAGCGGGGAGGCTCAGGATGTCACCTGCAAGCCAATGGTGTCTTAGCACTGGAGAGGATAGGAAGGAACTGAGCCATCGAGGACAGGGATGGGGCCTCTTCCATGGGCACCGCCTGCTAGTGCTGCCACACGCCCTGTGACCTGTCCAGGAGGCACTAGAGCAGCATGCATCCTGCCATTGGAACCCAGCTGCACCATCCCTTTGCAGCCAGCATCTGCTGCTTCCTCCTTACTCCAATACAGTTTTCTGGGGGGCTCCTGGACAGCAGAGGATGCTTGGGGAGCCCTTCCCACTCTGACCTCAAATACACCCCTGTACCCCTCACTAGCAGCACCTCTGCCTCAGGCCTCTAAGAGATGCCAGGGTGTACGGGGCCGCCTGAAGGTAGAGAGGGTGCACACGGACAGCCAAAGGTGTGTGTGTGCGCACGGCCTATGGCACTGGGGCTCAGAGATCCAGAGCCAGAGCAGTCACTCAAAGCCCAGGGCTCAAGGACAGGCCTTGTAGGCCTGAGGGCCACCCAGGCAAGGTGATGGGCTCAGCTGGACTCTTCCCAAGATCTCGCCTGAAAGGAGCATGGGTGCAGCAGGGGAGACAGCAGCCACCCGAGGAGTCACACCCAGATCACACAGCAGGGTCAAGGAATGAGGTTATAGCCCAGTGAGGGGCTCAAGACCTCAGATACCAGACGGGATTCTGGCAGAAGTAGGGATGCCCTGGCCTGGCCCAAGACACGGCTCACTGGTGGCCCCTGAAGATACCGGCTGCTTTGCTCTGGCTGCGGTGAGATGGGGCTGCTGGTAGCCGGCTGCCGTAGCGGAGATGGCCGTTGCTCCTGAAGCCTTGTGTACTGAAATGGCCTGCAAACCTGAGTCCAGGGAGGGAAGCAACATTGGTCGCTGGCTACAGGGCTGCCTCTGAAGCTACAGCCTGCCTCCCACCATGGACCTGAAGTGTCATCTGAAAATTGATGACCACGGAGTTATACCATGAAGTTATCAGGATGAGCAATACCAAGAGCTGCTGAGCTGGGGGGGGGGGGCCAGCAGCTTCTGCCTATGAGAGAAATCTGAGGGTCGGGGCATAGGTCTAGGAGCAGAGCTGGATGTGCTCTGTGACTGGAGGGGGTAGAGACTTTCTGCTCTGGGCTAGACCTTGACAGCCAGCCTCACACAAGGCAAGGCGCGAGGAGGGCAGCTCACCCCACCCTGAGTTGCAGGTCCTCTCCCCTTCTGATAAAGGGAGCCCAAGTAGCTGGGGCTCTAACAGGAACTGCCTGCCTTGGGGCATGCATCTGTCTGAGGCTACACTGGTCTCCCATCTTCTGGCCTGACCTCAGGCCCGGAGGCCCGAGACTACAGCTCACCGTGTAACTTCTTCTGACCGCTCCCATCATCCTGGGAAACCAGCTGCAGTGGCAGGTCCTGCTCGATGCTGGCCAGGGATGGCCGGGCGGACTCCCACAGGATGCTCAGAGAGCTGAAGTTGTCAAACTGGCGACCCTGATGGTCAAAGGCTGCCAGGTCCAGCAGGGGGTTGCGGTGGCTGGAGACTGGAACCTATAGAAGGCAAATGTCAGTGGCTGGGACTGCAGCCAGGGCTCAGCGGATCCTGGTGAGGGAGGTGGGCTGCACCCCAAACCAGTCTTCCCTGCTTCTGGACACCAAGGTGTACCAAGGACACCAAGGCTGCCCAACCCAGCCTCTGGTTCCAGGCCTCAGTTCCGACAAGCATGAGGGTCCTGCAAAGTCTGGTAGCAATTTCCTGTCACATCTCGGGAGCAGGCAGTGCAAATGGCATTTAGAAGAAGAGATGAGCAATGCTGCTAAATACACTGCCATGTGCAGGACGGCCCTACAGTGACTACCCTGAAGAGGACTGGCACCAGGGTGGGAATTCACACCCCAGCCAGTCTGTTCTCTCCCTTCTGTCCCCACCATTCCCAACCACTGCCACTCTCCATGCCCATGGGTACCTCAGAGCTGCCAGGAAGTGCCCCCCATGACATAATACAAATGCCCACGCCAACTTCTAAGAAATCTCAGAATGCCCAGGTTTGCAAAGAAGCCTCCGAAGTCAAGTCCCTCAGCAGATCCTTAAGTGCCCCAGGGAGGCAGAGGTGCATCCCCATGCTGCAGAGCCTGCACCTGACCCAGCCATACTTCCTGCCCTGGGAGGTACAGACATCCAGCAGAGATAGAAATCACACAGAGGCCACCTCCTAGGACTGCTGGGGGTCCTTTCAGAGAGATGAGGCATCCTTCACAAAGCGGCCTGATTCTCTGTTGAGGAGCAGTTCTAATGCAGGCACCTGAGTTGACCCTTGGGATGACCGTGTCAGTGACTGCAGCAGGCAAGTGCAATGAATGACCAGTGACAATGCAAGGGGTGCGCATTAATGCCAGAACATCACCAGCTGTGCTCTTTCCCTCCTCAGCGGCTCCTGGTGGCCACTCCACAGCCTTGATTTAGAACAAAGACAACGGTGACACAGCTGGGCCCCAGGGCCAACTAGAGATGCACAGATGTGTGTGGCTGAGGGATGAACTTGTGTTGGGTCCAGCCACTTGGCTGGGGGAGGGCTGTTTGCTACCACAGCATGGCCTGTCCTGTGCTAATGAACACAGGCGCTGGCTCCCCACCCCTAAGGGCACCTCCCCACCCCTTGAACTCCTGTGCCTGAGGCCAGCATGTTGCAAATCCCAAGGGCAGCCTTCAGAACAGCAGGTCAGTGCCATCTCTGTACACGTGGGGGTGGGCTTTGCAACACCCCCACCCCACATGAGTTGAGGAGCTGTGAGCGTGGACAGGGGCTGCAGGGCCTGTGGCACACTCCCCAGTTTTTTTTCCAGATGCAACCCTGGACAGAAAAGCAATGCTTTTCAGGGAAGGACATCAACACTGCACCAAGCATACTCACAAGCCAGCTGGACCTTCTGGGAATGGCTGCTGAAGGCGAAATTATTATCCCCATTTTATAAATAGGCAGGCTGAGGCCAAGATGCATCAACATCTTGCTCAAGGCTACTCGGGTCTCAAGGTGACTTAGCAGTCTGACTGTAAAACCCAAAGTCCTCGCTTGACACTGCAGTTACTCTTTGGTGCCTGAAGTGAGCACCAGCTGCTCTGTCCCCTGGCCTATGACAGGTGCCCAGCCATAGCACCTCAAATGCTGGGACACCTGCCTGGAGGACCAGAGAAGGCTGGAGTGCTACTCCGTCACCCTCACTAGTCAGCCCCATCCTGGAGTCTCACCTCGACAATAATTTACTCTGCAGAAACGTCTTGAGTGGCCTCTGGATTTGGACAGCTGTAAAATTGAATTGATCCTGTACCTGTGACGCACGGCAGGGATATATCTTCCCCAAGGTCCCCTAATGAGACCGTAAATCACAGGGGCCATGGCTGAATGGCTGGCTCACGGCTGGGGAGCCTGAGGACTAATGGGTCACACAGCAGCTCCCTGTCTGAGAGCCATTATTTCCTGCTGACACCAAAGACACACTGAGCCTGCTGAGAGCCCCATGCCAGACCATCACCTTTGAGGCTCAGAGAAGTGACCAGAGGCTAAACCGGAGGCCTGGTTGGCAGAGTGCAGGCAAAACCCAGCCAGAACATGGCCTGCTTGGTGTGCAGCTGACATCTAGGGACAGAGAGGACGCGGCTCTCATGAGGCTTTTTCCTGCTGTCACTGATTAGCACTGGCTTCCTGTCTGAGGGTTCCCTGCTCTCCCAGACAGTACCACCCCGATGGCCCCTTCCTGCAGCAGTGGCCCCTCCTGGCTTTCCCAGGCATGGGAGCCTGCTGAGCCAAGGGAGCTTAGAAGAGAGATAGACCCAGTGCCCTCAGGGTTTCTAGTGAGGGCCAGGGTCATGGTCTTTTCTGAGGATCAGCAAAGAGCAGGGCAGGTGAGCAGGTCCTGCAGCTCAGGTTCCAGAGGAACCTTAAGATAGGAAGAGGGAGCCAGCACAGGGCAGGCCGAGGGCTGGACTGGCACTAATGTGAAGTTGGCAGAGGGCTCCACCAAGAAGGGAAAAGAATAAAGAAAGCAGGGAGGCAGCTCAGGGCCAGGGAACAGGGGGCAGCCAGCCCCAGCTCCAGCAAGACCTCTGTGCCATGTTCCAGGAACAGGTAGAGTTTAGCAGGAAGTAAAGAGGCCCAGAGGCTTTGAGGCTGGGACATAGAGCCTGCGAGCTACAGGCAAGGCTTCAGCCTTTCATGGGATGAATAGGGAGCCAAGGGTAGGTCCTGAGCAGAGAACAAGACAAAAAGCAGAATGGGTGACACTCTATCCTGGTCATGCCTGTCCCCTGCAATACCTCTAGCTCATCTGTTACTATCGTCATTACTCAAAGGGGTCTCACAGCCAACCGGATTGGGTGCAGGGGTCCCAACTGTGACTGACCTGTGGCTGTTCTCATGGGCTGCAGCTCCCCTTAGCCAGGGGAACCCAACAAGTTGGACCCCAAAGGGCCCAGACTGAACAAGATTTTATTCCTTCCCCTGGGGAGAATTTGCTCTTTATGGAAGAGTTAAAATGCAAAGCCTTCGGATAAGCAGAACATAGGAAGATGAATGTGGCATGCTCTCACCCATGGACGCTAGCATAGTCTGCTTCATAGAAAGCAGGACAGAGGTCATGGGAGGCTCAGAAAGGGTGAGGTATAGGAAAAGCGTGGAGAGGAAGCGCCAAAATATAGAAAGACAGCTCTTCCTTACAGCATGGTCAGGTAACTGGCATTCACAACAAAGGGAACTGTGAGAGACAGGTGCACTGCTCCAAAACAAAGAAATGCTCAGTGCTTAAGGAGAGGTGAAATATTCATTTCTGAATTCTATGGTTACACACTGTAGACAAGCCCAGAATTAATCTCACACTACAGCCCACAGTTCCATACAATTATTACGTGTCAGTAAAAAAAATTAAGATATTAAAAATGGAAGTTATTCAAGACTCTCACCTCATTAGCGCCATATGTCAGGAAAGGAAAGCCTTTCCCTGAGCTCACCAACCTGAGGCGAAGAATGTTCCTTCACGCAACACCGCAGACACCCCGGCCTGCACCAGGGGTGGGCACCAGGTCCTCACAGCTCTGGGTGCTGGGCCTGCATTCTATTCCTCTATCAAGGGGGAACAGAGGTGCAAGTCCTGCACTGTCCCCACCAGGAGCTGGACACCAAGAATTTTTATTGCTAAGGGACTCTGATGGGACCAGCATGGGGGCAAATGGAAAGGCTCAGGAGCCAAGCTGGGGTGTTTCACATCTTGGATCCAAGGGATCTGGACAGTTGGAGAGCACTGATCTATGTATGTCAAAGCAGGGAAGGAAAGCAGAGCTGAAACTCCAGCAACTGAGCAGGAGGTTGGCTTCTTCCCCAAACCCATAGCACACTGAGCTTCAAAGACACACACTTGGTAGAAAGATAAGCCATCCTTACTCACCCACTGGGGCCCTGTTATGGTTTGTGCCTATTTGTCCCCACAAAGCCCCCTGCCACCGCCTGTACCTGTCTCCCTTCCCAGGCAGCCCTTGCCACCTCCCATCTCTGGACCATGCATATCCTTGTCAGCTGCTCAGGCAGGCTCCCTGCTGTCACAACCATGCAGTATTCCAGAAATCAGAGTAGCCTGGTGCAAAGCGGCTGCAGCGCAAGGATGTGCAGAATGGAGAAAAGCTGGTGTCTACCTCTGAGGAGTAGGGGTCGGGCATGGCCTGGAGTGGTCCCACACCCCAGAGCTGGGCACCCTCAGAACCTGCGCTCTTAATGCAGGGACTGAGGACTGGCTGGACCCCAAGTCCCAGGGGATCATATGTGGGTTCTGCATCTCATCCATGCTGCCAGCCTCACCCCAGTAACTTTAGCCCCTCCCAACATTCACTATGGAAACAGCCCTTGCTTCCTGACAATGCTGCAGCCGGCACCTCTCCTTTGCTGCCCCACCCCAACTCTGATCACACACACTCTGGGCACAGACTGCCCTGCCGCCATGCATGTGCTCAGCTCACAAAGGACACCCGAGATTTCACAAGCTCCCAAGGGCCTGGCAGAGAGGGCTGGCAAGTCTGGAATGGGAGAGGACTGTGTTCCCAATGCCACTGTGAAGGATGCTCTTGGATTTAGGATGATAAACCTGTCATAGGAGGGACACATCTTAAGCTAAAAATGCAAGTCACACTCCCAACCTACTGACCACCACAGCCCAGCCTGGCCCACCCGAAATGTGCTCAGAACCTGGCACCAGGCCTAGCCCAATAACTCTCACACTGAAAGATTGAAAGTGACATGTGAAGTCCTACACAACACAGCACCAGGTAGAACACCACCTTTGCTTGGTGGCTGAGGGGTGGGGCAGGGGCTGCAGCTCTCTGCCACTGCCCAGAACCAGGGACAACTGGATCCCACATCATCAGTGCAGGACAAGATCCAAATTCAAAATCCCAAGGGTGGCTTCCAAGCAAAGCCTGTCACTTTCACACCACTGTGAAGTGGAAAAGTCATGTCACACCACTGCAAGGCGAAGACTGTCTTAGGCAGCTACGCTTTGGAGAGCCACCTGCCTCTCCAGGCCCTAGAACTCCCAGGTAAGGCTGACAGGCTGGCTGCAAGATCAAGGTGGCATGGTACAGAGCTACGCCATCACACACGCAAGATGTGGGTCGAGCTGAGCCGGCTGGTAGCCAAGGTCCTTCTGCCCAGTGGGTGGGGATGTCACCCCCTTCCCCAGAGCTGCCCACACTCACCACCTGCTTGTTCTGCTGCAGCAGTGGACAGGACAGGTCCAGCTGAGGGCTGGTATAGATGGGCATGAGGGTGAGCCGGGACGGAGGGGCACAGATGAACTTCACCACGGTGGGCTCCACAGCAGGAAAGGGGTTGGTGATGCTGGGCTTGTTCCCCACTGACAGGGCAATGACCTGGGGACAGAGGAACCAGGCAGATGCCTGAGTGTGAGCTCCTAATGCTTTCTTATCTGAGCCCCTTTTCTCTGCTGTAGGGTGGGTGTGGTGCTGAGCTCTGCCTGCTGGGAAGCTGATGAAGTCCACAGACATGGCAGGAGATCACATTCTCAGCATGGCAGGGCCCCATGCAAACTGCAAAGGAAAGGGGTAAACTGAGGCTCACTTCCCACTTTCCCAGGACCCCAGGGAAACCCTGCAGCTGCATCAACAGACTCACACTTCCTGGATGCTTAAGTGAGGCAGCAACCCTGTGTAGGTCATCACAATGAGGACCTGTGGGAACACACGCTCTGCAGAGGAGACCTAAATGCTCAGAAGGCGCTGGAAAGGGTCTGTGGAGAGAGCCTAGGAGGGACCACAGGCTTGGCTGTGGGAGGTGCTCAAGGCTGGTGCATAGGGGGAAGGAAAGGTGCGAGGACAGTTCCCTCCCCAGGGACACAGGGCCCAGCAGACCCTCTTTCTTCCTGACCTGATCCTTCAGCCCCGACATTCAGGGAGGAACCCAGTGCTGGGAGTGGGGAGCCTCCAGGGGCTATTTCTGGGGGACCAGGATGGTCCAGTCAGGCTGGAACACACTTCTCTAACTGAACCCATCGTTAGCTTTACTCTTGTTTCTGTGACTATTACGTCCTTATTGCGGGTCACTGGCCATGGACTTTTCCTGTGGGGAGTAGACCTTCTCTCCATGAACTTTTCTGATCACACCAGGGCAGTCTTGGTATGGCAGACATCCTAAGGGCATCCTGTGTGCCCCTGTGCTACCTCTGCATTCATGCTCATTCTCTGCACTACAAGGCAAGCCTGAGTCCTCTTCACGTCCCCTCAGGGCAGCGCTGCCCCACCCCACCTGACTTCCTATGTCCTCCCACCTTGAGATCCCTGGGAGCTGAGCGGGCACCAGAGGACCTGCACAGACACGCCACACCCTCCCAGAAAGGCAGCCCTGCAGGCAGTTGGTTCAGTTCATTCAGCTATCTTATGTTTTTGGTCTTCGGTACCAAAACAAACAACTCCCAAAAGATTCCCTATGCAGAGATATCAGGTGTTCTAGCACACAGTCCAATACCAAGCTGCACCAAGCTGGGGTCTCAGGTCACACCCTCCTTCATAACTCTTGACCCTGGGTCATCCAACATTGAGACCTCAATGTCAATTGCTTCATCCACGTGTGATGGGAGAGAATTCTGCACCCTCCAGGGCGGAAGGCACTCTGATGTGCTGGGTCTACGAAAGCTAGGGAGTCTGGAGAGTGGGTTCGCAAACACTGCACCCTACTCAGCCTGTCTGCTGATTCAGTCACTCTGCACTGCCTGGCCCTTATCTGCCTGGTGGTAAAATGGGTACAAGATGGGCATTCTCAGGGTTCCTCTGAGGATTAAGGTAAGTGGTGCTGTGGTCAGCTGCCCACTCACCTGCTCGCCGAAGGCCTGGCAGGTCACGAGGATCCGGTGCTGTTGGTAATTCCGAGAGGCAGGGGGACCCAAGAGAACCATGCTGATGCTGTCCATGTCCTCAGAGGTGACGTTGCGGAAAAACTTGGAAGGCTCGAGGACCCAGGGTCGGGGACCTCCTTCCAGCAGCATCTCTTTTGAGGAGCCCAGAGTTACCACGGCAACAGGAGAGGGATCCACAGCCTGGGGAAGGAGGAGGGAAAAAGCTCATAGGCCTGGGGCAGGCAGGGTTAGGGTCTGCCCAAGCTTGGGGGATGGGGTCTATGGGATGGGCATGACACCCACCCATGCCCAGGAACCCGAAGCAGAAAGGGTGGTAGAGGGGAGGGCTTTGGTTCACCTTGAGGGGCAGGTAGGCAGCGATGGTGATCCTGGCACTCAGGTGGATGTGGCCATGCGTGTAGCTCACAAGGAGCGTGGTGGATCCCTGGGCCTCGGCTCTCACCTTGACGCCGCTACAGTGCTCAGACCCAGGTGGAAGCCGCCCTGAGGGAAGGAGTGGCCCATGCTTACTCTGGGCTCCAGGCACAATCAGATTCTGTTCTAACTTAAAAAACCCTAGGGGGTGGGCGTGGGGCTTAGTTGTACTATGCTTGCCCAGCATGCACAGGGGCCTGGTCTGAGCCCTACATATAATCAACCAATCAATCATGAGTCCCACATGGAAATGTACACCTATAGTAAGTGCATGCTGCATGGTATTCTCCACACACACATTCAACACACCCAGTATCATGCAAGACCCGGGTCAAGGAGGAGAAAATCACCAACACTCCCAGCAGCTGTGGCAGAGTTCCGTGCCTCCAGGCCCTCCCCTGACTGCTCCTGGGACAGCCTGACCACGCTGTTCCCACAGTTTATGTAACAGGGTCTTTGACATTGCACTCTTCTATGCCTGGCTTCCTAAATTCAATATTGTCCATAAGGTTCCCCATGGTTCAAATATTACATGTCTTCCATCCACACACGCATGGCTGTTCTGCTGTACGAGTGGACAGCGACACATCCTCCAGGAAACCAGGCCCATCTGAGCTGTTCTCATTTTGGTTGTGTTACGTGGCCCTGATGCAAACATCTGAGAGCCTCCCTTGTGGAGGCTGTGTCTGGTCACACCTACAGGCAGCTCCTGTCATTCTTGCAGAGTGTCTCCGCCCAAACAGCATCAACTTATATTGCTTCTAGTAGGTGCTCCATGCCCCTATCATGACAGTCCATCAATTTTCAATTTTTTAAAGTGTATTTTAATTTTGATAAAATACCCATTTTTTTGCATATGCAACTCAGCAGAACACTGTATATTCACACAACCGTATGACTGTCGGTGCTATCTACCACACGTCTTTCCACCTTTCCAAATGGACTCTAAACTAATGAGATAACAACTAGCCAGTTCTTTCTACCCTGCCCCTGGACCACCTCCCCATGCTTTCTGCTTCCTGTCTCCTGAATATCCCTTTTAGTACCCCTTAAGAGGTCTCCTACAGTATTGATGATCGGCGCATTTCACTTAGCATATGGCATCAAGCTTTACTGGTGCAAGTCTGAATTTCCTTCTTCAGTAAGGCTGACCAGTATTTCGTGGTCCACTCTGTAGACACTTAGGCTCTACGCTTTGCTTACCCACTTGTCTGCTGACGAGACATGTGGGCTCCCTCCACCTGTGGCAAGCACAAAGCTGTTGCCATGAAGACAAGTTTCCAAACACTTCCCTGAGGCTGCACTCCCACACATCTGGGAATGTGCTAGGAGTGGGACTGCTGGACCACAATGTACATAATTCTAGCTTTTATTTTTTTGAGGAGCCGCCACACTGTTCTCATAGTACCTGCCCCTTTAATAGTTCTCTCATAGTGCACAACTGTTCTAGTTTCTCCACATCCTCACCAACAAAGGTTATTTTCTGTTGTTTTGCTAGTAGACATCCTAAAATACATCGGTTTTCATTGTGATTTTCACTTGCATTCCTCTGATATTAGCAGCTGTGGGCATCTTTTCACGGTCTTGTTGGCTATTTATATATCATGTTTAGAGAAATGTCTCCTCAAGCCCCTCACTCATTTGTGTTGTTTTATTGTTGTGGATGTGTATGAGTTCTTTCCATGTTCTTAGTATCAGTCCTTTCCTTGTCAGGTAAGCACTTTGCAGGTATTTTCTTCCATTTCTATAAGTTGCCTTTGTCTAAGTGGGAACTTGTTACAGCCTCTTCCTCAGAGTTGGGACCAAACTATGGAAACTGAGGCCCAGAGCTGTGGCTGATTTGCCAAAGGCCACAAGGCAGGCAAGATTCAGACCAGACCTGAGCTGGGGTGGGGGCAGAAAGACAAACACCACTCCTCAGCTGTGGTGCACCTGTGGCCCCCAAACTCTCTCTGGGAACCTGGATGGTCCACACGGAGCACCCCGACAATCTGGCCCCTATCTCCGTCTGGGGCCCCCTGAGCAATGTGGGCTTACCTGGGAGTGGCTGGAACACACCCTGGTTCTGCACCTCTACTGCCAAGTCGAAGTGGGAGCAGTCACTCAGGGTGACCACCTCGCTTGTCCCACCGGGCATGAGGCCGTTGATCCTCAGAGGCAGCTCCAGGCTCTGGCCCACTCGCACCTCCACTTGGCATGGGGCGAACTCCATGCTGCTGGGCTCAATCACATACACCTGGAGGACAGGGTGGGACCTGGGCCCATCAGCCTCTGAGGGAGGAGCGAGCCAGAACGCTGGGGTGTGTGGGTGCTGTCCTGGATGGGGCATCTGGGACATGTTAGGGAGAGGTCTGCACAGGGCACAGGGGGACTCAGGAAACTAAAAGTCAGAGAAGGAGTGAGGACCAGACAGCCAGCTCACAGGCCATGAGGCAAAAGTCTTGGGGAAGCATTCTGGATGTGAGTTGGTCCTATGACATAGAGAGGACAGAGGTCTGAGTGGCAGGCCCAGTGCCGGGGGGACACGGGTGCTCACAGTGGTGGAGCCAGGGGACTTGAGAGGGTGGCCTCACTCTCCCCTCTGGGTCACAACCAACAGCCTGGTGTGTGTAGGGAGGGTAGGTTTGTTGGGGTGTCCTAGACATGCATGGGGCAGATTCGAGCTGAGATGGTTTCTCCTTGGTCTAGCCAAGGAGAGCATTTGTCATTTGGCTGGAGAAGGTGAAAGAGGCAACAGCAGTTTGTTTTCCTGGGAAAACCAACCAGGACACATTGCAGGTTCTGTGCTGAAAGGAGCACTCGCACTGGGCCCTCTCGCCTGCCTGGCAGGAGGGCAGCCCATCACCACCTCACTCTCCTACTGAGGAGCCTGCTCAAGAATGGGTGCAACAGCCCAAGAACAGCCATGCAGCCAGGTGGGCCCCCGAGTCTGGCCCGAAGCCTTGTGACTGTGTAGTAACTGTGATACTATGGGAAAAGATGGTATATTTCCCAAGAGGAAGAAAGGGCCAGGGCAAGGTAGTCCCAGTGGACCCCAATATTGGGCCGCTGTCCTTCTCCAAAAGGGTCTGTATGAAATAATGTGTCTCAGTGAGAATCAGACCTCTCTTTAGTAGAGATGTGTGCATCTCACGTAAGATCGTGATGCCCCAAATAATGCAAATGGCACTTTTGTGACTGGATTGATGGGGCTTCCACCACTGCCATCAGTGAAGCAGTAAGGGGGTGTCCTGCAGCTAAGTGGTGTCAGGTCGTGCTGGCTGGGACTTAGCTGCAGGTGACAACCACACCTAACCCTCACCACTCAACGGTACAACCCCACATTGCTGAGCCTCAGCACCAGGGGACACATCTGCAATCAGAAGCCCTGACTTGGGCTCTGAAGGGGGATGGGGGCCTAGCTGTCTTTGGACACCCCATGAGCCCCTTCTCTGTAAATCTACAACCCATCTCTTGGGGCCCTCCCACTTTGAGATTCATATCTTTTGTCCATTCTAAAGTGGCTCTTTGATGCCCTCTATCCTCTGTGTTCTCTGGTCCATCCATCCCCCCCATGCCTGACTCTGAGGCAGCTGCCCTGTGGTCCTGTCACTGTCTCCTGCAGGCACTGTCACCCTCACCCTGGTTGGCTGTGATCTCCTAAGGGCAGGAGTGGGGCTCAGCTCCAGACCCCTTACTGCACCTCACACAGGGCACAGAACCAGGGCAGTTAGGTAAGGGGAGGACAATGCCACCCTGTCCCCAAACTCCTCATGGCCTGGCCTGGCCTGGCCCAGAATGTCTCACCTTCATCTCACCGAAATGTAGCGGGTTCTGGACGTCACGTGCCTGGATCACGCTGAGTCCAATGTCACTGCTTGTGGTCATCACGCCCTTGACGGTGACTGTGGCCACCATGGCACTTGAGGATGACCAGCTGAAATTCCCACTGCCCCCATCAGCCTAGGGAGGAGAGAAACATGGGCCACTAGCCCACTATCCTCCTGGGCGGGGAGGTGGGAGGGTCAGGGACAAGTGTGCACACGCACACACACACACATGCACTTACCCCTCACATGAGCTGAAGGGAACCTACTGTCATGGGCTCACACGTTGTCCTCACAACCACACTGACATTCATCCATTCACACACACACAGGCTCACACCCAACAACCTGCTCACTCACATACCCTTGTTCACACATGCAAGCTCTGACACACACTCACACATGTTCACACTCACCAGCCAACCAACTCACACTCAGCATTCATTCAGACACGCAGACAAGCACACACTCACCCACTGAGACTCACACACTCTCACACATGCTCACCCCATCCACACAGGCACAGTGGCTTCCTTTGCCTCTGGCTTCCTCTGTCTCACTTCTGGTCTGCCTATTCACAGGTCCTAGTGCCTGGCATGCACAACACATGCCATGGCAGGGGGCTCAGGATCTTTTGGCACCTCTGGAGCTCAGGTTGCAATACGAACCAGCCCTGGCCCTGGAGCCACCCGCAGAACAGAGCTTCTGTGACCAGACACAAGCTCCTCTCAGCACACAGCCCACCTGCTCCAAATCATCCTGGACCAGAAGTCACAGCGCCAAGGGGGCTGCTGTTCCAGGGGGCAGGTGCTAGTGCACACACAGGATAACTGTCACTCCCTAGACCGCATGAGTGATGAGGACTCTGCTAGCCCTGGATCAAGTCCCACCTTAGGGCAATCCCTGCAGCCTAAGGCCACCTGGGAAGGTGAGTATCAACAGTGACACTCAGCACGTGACATGGCTGTCCATGTTTTCCCCTTGAATTTCATGCTGTCCTCTAAGGATATCTATACAGCTTTTAAAAGTGGTACTTTTTCAGAAAAATGATTAAGTGAAACTCAAATCTATTCCAGATTTCTCTGTAGTATTTTCTTTTCTGTTTCAGTTATTAGATTTTTCTTCCCCTATGAACTAAACACATTGCTGTGGTGGAAATCTCAGAGAACACAGTAGTCATAAAGGCTCTGATTTAAAATTGCCTCTGTCCACTAGAGGGTGATGCTAGACATGACAGAATGGATAAAGAACCACAATCCATTCAAAATACCCCACGGAAGGCACCCAGTGAGGTCTCCAGTACCTTTATTGTATACTGATAGGCTCCTGTCTTTGGTTGCCAAGGGAACGTCAAGATGCTGGGGAAGAGGGTGATGGGGATGTGAATGTCCACCTCCTGCTGGTTCCACACAGGCACCTGTAGCACATGGACCCCGCCATCCTACAAGGGGTGAGAGTGTTGTATGTCACCATGACAACCAGGTCATTGGCAGATCTTCCTAGCCCCTACCTCTCTCTGTGGACCAGTGGATTCTGTGCTGGTGGGAGTTATGAAAAGAAGATGACAGCCCATACCCTCCTTGAGCTCCCTGGGGATGGCAGTCTGAGGCTCTGTAAGGGCCAACTCACATAAATGCTGTTAGATGGTCCTCAGGGGACCCATGCCAGGAAGAACTTGGCTATTCCCATTTTACAGAAGGGGAAATGGAGGCTTTCAGCTCTTTGTTCCACCCCTCAGGGGCCAGACACTGAGGTATTGCAGGACATGGGCTACTCTTTTACTGTCCTGCGCTGCTGCCTCATCCAGGTCTGGAAAGGTTTTGTGTAGGGTAGGAAGAGGGAAACATCTGTGCCAATGTGCCAACTGGTAAAATACCATTCCTGCCTAAAACTGATCAGTCTTTTTTTTTATGTATTTAGTACAGGGTCTATAGGGTCTCACTACACAGATTGAACTTGTAGTGATTCTCCTGTCTTCAGCCTCCCAAGCACTGGGTTTACAGGTGTGTGCCACCATGCTCAATCTCAATCTCTATCTCAGCGTGCCCTGGGGGTGGGAATGATATGGTACTCCAGGGATCGAGCCCCGCTCCTTGTATCTGCCTAAGCAGGTGCTTTAATCTGCTGAGCTATCTGGCTGGCCCTGGTCAGTCTTTTAAGCACAGAAGGTAAAAGAGCCTGCAGGAGCTAGGTAGACAGAACAGATGAAGGAATGCTGGTGGTTCCATCCTGGGGCCCAGCTGGGCCCAGCACTGCCTCCCAGAACGATAGTGTTATCCGTGATTCTAGAAGGCAGTGACCCTTTCACAGAGGCAGGGAGAGGGGAGTGAGGGTAGAACAGGAAGACACCCATACCACCTGGCTCTGGACAGCTGAGGGCAGCTGGGGCCTGAGTCCAGAGAGGGAGAGGCCTCCCCAGCACTTGGGAGCAGTGCAGCGGCAGAGCTGGGCATGGAAAGCAGGAGGCACCAACTTGCCTGGTCCACCACAGAGGTGAGGGCTGCACGGATAGTTGTCTGGCCCCTCTGTATCGCCTTGACGTGATGGTGTGACCCATTCTGGGAAGATGAGAGAACCTCAAAGAACTCAGCAGGAAGCTCAGCCTCAATTCGGATGTTCTAGAAGGCAAAAGCATGGATGAGTGGTGCTTCTGGGAGAATTCAGGGATGTGCAACTCCAAGAAAGCAGTTCTAGGGGCTGGAGAGATGGCTCAGTGGTCTAAAGCACCTATTTAGAACAAGCTTGGCAAAGCATCAGGGACCGCGGTTCAATCCCCCAGCACCACATGCCAGCCAGTCCCGCCCCCTGGTGGGCTGA